AGGGGCAACAGCAGTGTCTTACACACACACACACACACACACGAACACACACACTTAGTCTGCACGTGCCTCATAAAAAAATATTGGGAATCACGGAAAGTTTAGCGATTCACAAACGAAATAACTGTTCTGCGTTAGCCTGCTGGAAATGTCGTCAACAACTCACAACGCACAACTGGTGAAATAAACAAACTACTGACAAGTGTTTGCGTGTCAAGAAACCGAATCCAATGGCAGAACTAAACCTCTGCACTAACCTGCAAATGTATCCGCTTTTCTGTAATATCCAAGTCCAGACAGGCTGCAGACTCGATGCCCGGAAGGCTGACTTCCACTTTGATGGCACTCGGTCGTACTGGGAGGCCCTCATTGGTGGGACCGTTGGTGTAGTTTAGCATGTCAAACTCCGAGCTGTGAGTCACCTTGACCTCGGGTCGTTTGTACTTGGAGGTCGAATCTTCCGCCTCACTAGTGTTCAGTTTGGACTTTCCGAAGCAATCGTCCATGCAGCGCTTGTACTTTGACAGAGCAGCGAGGGCTTCTTTGGGGTTAGGACCTCGCCTGGCCTCAGAAAACGCTACCTTCTCAGCTTCCTCCAGGCGTTCTTGACACTCGGCAAAGTCGGGTCGCTTTCGACGGATTACGGTCGCGCGCAGTGCCCCCTTGTGAGTCACTCCCTTGAGTAGGCGAACGGAGGAGAGAATGGCCTTCTCGTTGGTCTTATCCGACTTCCAGGTTGCCTTGGCTTGCTCCCTGGTCATGCCAAGATGGAAGCCGAATTGGCGGTGGACGCCTTCCACAGCTGTGGCGAAGATGAGCCCGCGAAAGGCCTGCGAGGCTTTCGAGCGCTCGACAGCTTCAGGGTGAAAGACAACGTCGACAACCTGGTGTCGGAGGCGAAACACAACACAATACACCACTTTAAAGCAGACCCTCTGCAAAATTTATGTGTCAAGAATCTACGCACGAGAGAGAGAAACAAAAGACCCCCTTTAATCCAAGTAATTTGAACTTGATTCTATGGCACCCAGGCGCATTTCACCTATGTGATTCATTTTTCTGATAATGTAAACCTTGTCAGTGTTCAAGCAATTTAATTGGGCGCCGATTCCTCGTTTAACGCATCAATTCGCGGTTGCTTCGAATTATTACATCCTTCTACAGTTTCTATGCAATCAATAACTCAGGAAATGCGATGACGGCGAACACTTCAAATTAATAGTCGGTTGTGGCAGGCAACCAATTCATAACGTCATCCACTGCTCACCATTGACCTAAATGACATCGAGAGGCATTGTACCTCTTTGATGAAAGCAGCGTAAACAACAAAATATCGTGGTTATGAGACAGCGATTTGTCTGTCTAGCGCCGCGAGCTAGGGGCGCATATCTCATTCACACACGCGACTAATTTGCGAGGCAATCGCGAAAGCGAAGTTGTAGCCATGGTGTGCATCAAGGCATCTCAAAACTGCGCTTAGGCAGACTGCACGGCGATAGTTCCACCACGAGAAGACTTATTTCTCTTGTGGGTACACACGAAAAAAGCGTAGAAACTATAAATGTTTTTACATTGTTAAAGAGGATAGTATTTCGCTTGCAGTTATGCTTAGCAAAACGATATTTTAAATTGTAAAAAATTGTACTTTGCTCGAAATGACAAGGCGCTTCAATCGAAGAAAGAAACTAGCTCTAACGTGGATATATCACACTAGAGTTGATTTTTTTCATCTAAAATATGTTCATAAAGTCACGATACTGAATCGCAAAACGGTGTAAATAGGCTGGAAAACACTCGACGAATCATAAAACTTATTATCACCAACGCTAATAACTACTCACAAATGCTACGATATGTCAAAACCTAATCTCAGGCCTGTCGGTTCTGAAGTTCCAATATTGCTAAAGAACTCATTAATGGATTTCTAGTAAACCGGTCCATAGCGACAGAAAATGGCCAAAGCTACTGCACCAGAGATTGTAAAGCATTTCTAGAAGTTCAAGGACAATATGTCGCCTATTGGAACCAACGAAAACATCATTTGCCTACGTAATTCCCAGCCACTACAACCGCTTTCTCAAGCACTTATAAGGCACACTGATCTATTCGTGCACATCGCCAAAGACATCCGCATTCTAATTGAATTGACGCTCTGCTTGAAATTATTTGGATGGACTGATTAGGATACAAACCTGTAATGCTAAGCGTGGGCTTGATGCATAAAAGGGTGTCGCATTTTTGTAACGCTTTAGTCGTTTAAGCGGCAGCGCGAGGGGAAAAATTTACTCGGAAATGTTGCAACAATTTTAGGTAATGAAATATTACTGTTCAGTACTGAATAACCACCCTAATTCTTAAATCAGATCATATTTGGTACCATCAGGTTATCACCACTTCGGCACACCTAAAATGCTAGGAATAAACACATTCGACCTGAGTGAAGATGTGGCAGACAGTCAGGGAAGAGAAGGTACTTCCACTTCTCTGGTGATAAAAAGCATAGTCAGGGCAAGAAGAATAACATATTTTGCACGTCGATTTAAGATCGAAAAGTCTCATTTTAATTTAAACGCAGACAGGAAAAAAATCACGGCATTCCTTACAAGACACATTTTATTTTCTTTTTCGAGGTCCTCGGTAGGAGGTGCAAATGAATGTGGAATGCTCCAGGTGGCACCTCGGCCGTCCCCACTACGTTTCATTTCAGGTTTTCCTAATTTTTCCGATGAACAGATGTTGAGGAACACCTTCTGACCCTCAGAGAGCTTAGGCACATCTTTACCGGGTAGCTTTTTTAATTTCTCTGATGCAAGGCTGGGCCAGTTGCGCGACTTAAGAACACAGTAACCCGTGGGGTTTATGAACTCCAAATCCATGCCTCGTTCCATTTCCGCCATCCTGATCTCTTCCTCATATCTACAAATATAGATCAAAAGTAAATAATGCATTCCAATGTTTGTGGTAGACAGTCATGCACAGCCATGTACAGAATATCATTGTAGAAATGAGAGTTAATAAGTAGGCGTCTTTGATATACATCATTTTGGATAGACTATGGATGGTGCAGAGATGTCCAAAGATTGCACTTGGCATCAGCGAAAAACGTTCTTCCATATTACCAAAATTAAGCAATAGGATTTTCAACTTAGATTAACCACGTGGAATATTCTACCTGTACAAATACAGTTAAGTTAGTTTAAGTATACTTTTTTTAAAAAAAGCTACGAAAGGACAACAACAGCAACATTATAGACAGTTAGTATGGTCTCTCAATCATGCTTTGATGACCACTGACTCTTAATAACAAGTTGTCAGCACGATACAGAATGTAAATTCGCAATACTAAATGAACAGCGGTTTGTATAGACACTAGATGATGTGTATTAGATTTAAGGAATAAATTTATGGTGTACTACCGTGACAAATTAAAGTGCAATTTTGCACCAAAACTGCAGGAAAATTTCAAACCAAGGCACGAGGATAAAGCCCATATAAGCAAAAAATATCGAAAAAAATATAACACTAAAGAAGTTCGTAGCTGTCAAAATCAATCAAATTCATTTTGTATTTCAATCACATTAAATAGCATCATTAAATATTTCCGCACTAAAAAACGAACCTTCGCTTATTTTCCGGATCGTTGAGCTCTTCAGCGTATTCCGCAAATAATTTAAGGAATTCTGGGTCCTTAAATGCTTTCCCTAATCTATCTAATTCATCATTTGTCAAATTTAGATCCTTGAGAGACTTTTCCATTGATCTCGAGATTTTCAAAAACGGCTCGTCAACGGAGTGATCTATGACAAGTAACCGATTAAAATACTCAGGTGAATTAGAATTCAGGGTCTCCAATTGTCCCAGTTAGAAAAGGCTGACGTGTTAACTCAAAACCTAAACCATAAAAAAATTAGTATTCGAAAAAGAGGGGAATAGTTAAAAAAGTGAACTAACAGTATTTAAATAGAATAATTGCACAAATTGCACCTGTGTTCATTATAGCTTGACACTATCTTGAGAGCACATTAAGGTAGTTTAGAACAGGTTTTTTGGATTCCTTGTTCTACTAAATCTAATATCCTGTAAATTTGAGTTTTTCATTAATTTTACCTGAGGAATGTGGCAATATCCTCCAAGCATTTCTATTAATTCAGTTGCAAATTAGTTTTATAACTTCCATTTAAACATCCCTTTCCTTTTAAAAAAGCCACAGGTTCAATCTTTCAAGGAGCCAATTTTATTACAATTTTCCATAATCGTTGTATTTCTTTAAGATAATCTTAGTCATTTTAGTGAAAGTAAGACAATAACATACGAAAAATAGCCAGTGC